AGCTCTAAAAAGAAAACATCAATATATGACTAATGTCTTCACATTGGAACCAGTTAGAATAATTATGCAATGTGCTAAAAGGGAGAGCAATATTAAAGAATGGCACAATAGTTCTGAAGCAAAACTTTCCTTCGGTGATTTCAGATATTTTTACAATTGTTCTCTGAACTTTCAACTACTGTGAACAAAGCAGGGCTAATGTAGTTCTAGAAATGCTGCACTAAAAAATTTAATTTCGCACTGCAAAGAATTAAACATTACAGTGATGCTCTAAATGCTGCATGGGAAAAGAAAACAGTGTTCACTTTTGACAATAATGATATTTCTTATTTGCAAACACAGAATAATAACAACAGTAATTAATTAATTTAATTTCACAATCAACAACTCAAAACAAAAATAAAATACAAACTCTGAAACCTGCCCAGAGATGTAATTATCTCGTGCACACAAAAAGGTGGAAAACAGGCATTAACAGGAAGAGAAACTGACAACAAATGTATCAAGATGAAAACTCTAAACCAGTAATGGCAAACATTTTTGAGCCTGAGTGCCCAAACTACAACACAAAACCAACTTCATTTCAAAGTGCTAAAACTGCAATTGTACCTGAATACTGAGGTTTTAGTTTAGAAAAAACAACTCCCCCTGCTCTGCAAGGGTTAAATGCTTGCTTTCCCCCCCTAGGGGCAGTATTAACAGAGTAATGCTTACTGGTCCTCCAATCCCCCGTCAAGCTAGACTGGTAATGGACCATTGGACCCCTCCGCTGAAGCACTGCACCAGCAGAAAGGAGTGCTGAAATCTGGGACTGGAAGGAGGGTAAGTATTTTGCAATGGTGACTTATGGCTCATGTGCCCACAGAGAGGGGCTCTGCATGTCAGCTGTGGCACATGTGCCATAGGTTTGCTATTGCTGCTCTAAACTGTCTAAAAATATAGAATTTGTTGGTTAGTTATGGTGGTGTAAATATAATGACATCAACTGCAGTGAATTGCCACTAGTTAACAAGCTACTACTTGTATCCCTTGCTACACACTAGACACAAACTGGTGTGTGACAATGGAATACAAGTGGAAATTTGTTAACTAGCAATCATTTGCTTCTCAAACTTCCACCACTGCATTTATGCCAGTGTAATTAACCATTAGTATTCTGCTACTATTTTATTTATTTAAAGTATTTATATGCTACAATTTGTCAACAAGGTGTATAGATTTCATTAAAACAAGTTATGTTTTTAAAAAATAGAATATTCAACAAAGAATCTCATTGTAAATCAGAAAATACTTGGTTGAACAAACAAATTAAACAGGGTAGGCAGCTGTTCCACTGGGGATGAAAATCTGGAGGACAGTGGTATGTGCGTGTGTACAACTGAAAAGGCCTCCCTTGGCTTAGTCATGCTTGGATGACTGAACCAAGAGAAGACCATGGGTTGTACATCTTAGCAAATGGACAGCTTGATATATAAGAAGGTGCTTCAGCAGGTAACACAGTCCTATGTCACTTAAGGCCTTATATGTCAACAATATCACCTAGTAGAGTTCTCTGAGCAAAAGGTATAATATGCTTGTTGTAGAGTAACTCACTCAGCAATTTTACTGCAGATTTCTGCACCAGCTACAGTTTCAGGGCCAGGCACAAGAAAAACCCTATCTATCTAATCAATCAATCAATCAATCAATCAATCAATCAATCAATCAATCAATCAATCAATCAATCAATCAATCAATCAATCTGTCTATCTATCTATCTATCTATCTATCTATCTATCTATCTATCTATCTATCTATCTATCTATCTATCTATCTATCATATTTATTTCAAATATTATTTATTTCAAATATATTTATTTCAAATATTTATTTATTTCTGCTTAAAAAGGACTCAAGGCATGATAGCGTTAGAATCATGATGTTATCAATGCCTGGATCATACTTTGTGAGAAAGAACAGATAGAATAAGAGATGTGCTCACCTATCTTTGGCTCTTGCCCTATTCATCTCTGGCTTCAACTACACCCACCACCCACCCACAGCAGGGTGTTTCAAGGTTAGGAAAAAAGAGAGAAACTAGAAGAACAGAAAACAATGTGAAAAGCACTGCAAAATCATGCAAAAAGCACTGCAAAATCACAGCTACAGCAGGGCATGTTAACTTGTCTCTCAATAACAACTCCCCTGAAACTGGCAAAGAGTTTTTGAACCTCTCTTAACACAGTGAGCTTTTGATGCAGCACAAAGGTACTCATGATGGTAAATCATGAGTGCAATCCTGCAAAACCAAGTGGATGCTACACAGGAGGGGCTGCCCATAATTTTACACTCTTTTATATGATGTTATTCGTTCTTTTCCTTTCTCTCTCTCTCTCACTCTCTCTCTCTCTTTCTTTCTTTCTTTTCTATACCGCACCATCTAGTAGCATAATAGCATGCCACATCCCCCACACAACCCACTAAATATAAAAATATAAAAAGGAGAGCCCAATAGACTCCTAAAAACCCAAGGTGACAGCAATGGACAAAACACAAAATGTAAAACAGTAAATGAGATGAAATGAACAGCTATAAGGGAAAGATATCCTGAAATGCCTCCCTGAAAAGCAAGGTTTTTATATGCTTCCTGAATATTAGGAGGGAAGGGGCCTGGCACATCCCCACATTAAGTAGAGCATTCCACAGAGAGGTGGCCACCACTGAAAAGGCACAGTCCCTAGTCATGGACTTCCTGGCCTCTTTTGGAGTGTCAGCCTGCAGCATCAGAGCCTGAGAGGTGCAAGTGACATGGGTATCTCAGGAGAGGTGCTCCAATAGGTACCACTAGGACCATCAGAGTTCTTAATCTTTTCTACAAATTCATTGCCTTAAAAGGAACACTCTCAATTAAAATCAGAAGTAACTAAACCAGTAGCTCTCTAAAATACAAGATAATTTCTTGTACCAAAGTCAAAGGATGCAGATACTCTTAGGAAAGTGTGATCCAAGAAGATATATTCTGTTTTGACAACAGTCAGAATTCATATACAGCGGTGCCTAGCAAGACGAACGACTCGCAGGATGAAAAACCTGCAAGATGAATGGTTTTTTGTCATCGCTGTGGTGCCTCGCAAGATGGCTTCTTCGATGGCTGTGCTTCGCAAGACGATTTCCCCCCAAGACCAATGCCTCGCAAGATGAATGAATTATTTTCGTCTTGCAAGGTTCCCATAGGAATTGCAATCCATTCCTATGGGAAACCGCTTTTCACAAGACAAAAATTTCGCAAGACAGCGCTACTCACGGAACGAATTATATTCGTCTTGCGAGGCACCACTGTATTTTGGAACGGGTCTTTTCACTTCAAGTGCAGTCACAAGTACCTGGAAATCTATGAGTCAATAGTATTTAATAACCCTAACAGTAGCAATCTAGCTTCCTCTCAAACAAAGGAGGCAATTACAAGAGCATCCTCTTAAACATCATTTGTAAGTCATGGTTGAACAGAACATATTTAGGAGTCAAGAGTCTCTCATCACTAGGTCAAAATGTGGTCAAGGCTTGTAGCAGATCAACTATTTCTGAAACTGACAGCTAGTAAACACTGGTAAAAGTGCTACTTAGAGCCCAATACAAATGTTTCTAGCAGACAACATATATATTAGACAAAAACCTTCCTAGTACAGTGGTGCCTCGCTTAGTGAGTGCACCGTATAGCGATGTTTCCGTATAGCGATCCCTTTTTCGGGATCGCTATACGGAAACATACCCGATCTTCGCAATGGGGAAAACCCGCATTGCGAAGATCGGGTATTGCGGCGGCCATTTTGGAGCCGCCGAACAGCTGGGAGATGGCTGCCGGCAGCTGTTTACACGCCCTGGCCTCGCTTAGCGAGGGCGCGAAAATGGCTGCCGGCAAGGGGAATCCTCGCTGAACGGGTAAGTAAGCAAGATATTGGAACGCATTAAACTAAGTTTAATGTGTTTCAATACATTTCCCCTACCCGTTTAGCGACGATTCCGCATAGCGAGGGTTAATCCGGAACGGATTAACCTCGCTATGCGGGGCACCACTGTATTGGGTATAAACATAATGTTTTGTTTTGAAGTTGAATGGTAGGAATGCAGTTTAATGATCTGCTAGTTTCCTTTCATAAAGCCACTTTCCAGTTTAGGCTCTTAAACTCCTAAAATACTTGACCACTGAGTCCCCACAGAGATTATTATTGCTGCATTAGTGCAGCAATGATCTTGTGATGGCAGAGCAAATCAATATTCTGTAACAGTGGTTCCCAACCCAGGTGTTCTTAGACTGCAATTTCGTCAGTAGCTGTGCTTGCTGGGGTTTCTGAGAGTTACAATCCAAAAACATCAGGGTTACCCAGGGTTGGGAACTACAGTGGTGCCCCGCATAAGGAGTGATTTGTTTAATGACGAATCCGCATAACAATGTGTTTTTTGGCAATCGCATACCAATTTTTGCATAGTTATGTTTTTTTAAACAGCTGATCGGCAGTTCCAAAATGGCCACCGGGTAAAGAAAATGGCCGCCCGCACTGTTTTCGCGCCCTTTCCTCGCTTACCGGGCAGCAAAAATGGAGGCCGCATGGAGGATTTCCTCATAACGGTGAGTTTTTTGCCCATAGGAACGCATTAAACGTGTTTTAATGCATTCCTATGGGCTTTTTTGCCCTGCATAGCGATGAATCCACATAGCGACGATTTTTGCGGAACGGATTATCGTCGCTATGTGGGGCACCACTGTACTGTTCTGTAAGACAATTCTAAAATGGGGGCAGGCCAAACAAAAAATTATAACTTTTTAACTGGGCTTCAGATCAGCACCAAATGTGGCACAGTGGTGGCAGACAGTCTCCACTTGCTCTGTGCTAAATTTAGGTACATTTGAGCAAGGGGTTTTCTAGTTATTACTTTTTAAAAGTAAAACTGCTTCCCCCATTCAGAAACAGGCAATTCTAAAAATCCCCAGATTTAAAATAGATCATATAAATTGATAATACCAATCTTGCTTATCTTGAAAGAGAATGCTGGCCTCATCCACTTCTTTTATTCAGAAAGAATCCAGGCTGCAAGGGCTGAAATATTGATCCACAAAAAAGGGCTTTCAAAAGGGGAAAAACAGTCACTTTGTTATAAAACTGTATATGCATGGTACACTAGACAGCAGGAACTATATTCTTAGGCAGGGGAGGGAGATATTTGGACAAGAAACATTACAGAAACAAACTGAAAGTTTTCTATGAACAGTAAAATGAAAAAGGTTTGCTTTGAAGAAAGTAATGGAGTGACAGTCCTCCAGAAAGAGGGATATTTCGCTATAAACAGAGGGGCCCTTGTATCTGTGCTGGAAATATTCCACACACACCAGTGGATGCCTGAAACTGTGCAAACCCATTAGATAGAGTAAGAGGAGGGGGAAGGGTAAGAAACTAAGGTAAGTTTGCATTCACACTGTGGGCTGGGTTGGAATTGTGGCAACCATGGACAACTGAAACTATAGACACCAGCTCTGCAGATACAGTGGGGCCTCTAATTAAGAACTTAATCTGTATTGGAAGGTGGTTCTCAAGTTGAAAAGTTCTTATGTTGAATCTGCATTTCCCATAGGAATGCATTGAAAACCATTTAATCCGTATCTGCTCTTTTCCGTCCATAGAAACTACAGTGGAACCTCTACTTAAGAACTTAATCCGTTTTGGAATGGTGTTCTTAAGTTGAAACGTTCTTAAGTTGAAGCAAGATTTCCCATAGGAATGGACTGAAAACCAATTAATCCGTTCTGGCTGTTTTTTTGTTATGTAGAGGTGCGTTCGTACATTGAAGCATTAGTTCCCATAGGAACTAATGCAAAGCTCGTTAATACGTACTCTACCACTAGGGGGAGAGTTTTTTTTAACCTAAGATGACCTAAGGTTAAAAAAAGAGCAGGAAAGGTTTTTTTTCCTGTTCTTTTCTTGGATTTCTGTTCTCAAGTAGAAGCAAAATTTAGCAAATGGAGCTGTTCTTAAGTTGGATTGTTCTTAAGTAGAGACGTTCTTAAGTAGAGACCCCACTGTACAGGGGTTCTCAAACAGTCTTGTCATGTAAGTTTTCAGAGGGAAAATCAGCTACACATCTGGGTCAAAAAAAGAAAAAGAAACACTCTGTTTTATGAATGTGGGATATTGTTCTTTTGTATTCATGATTCAAAATGTCAGGAAATGGCCTGATATTGCTGCACAATATCATGCCTGCATTGGCAAACTTTACTCAGCAGAGGGCAAACGGAATGTAGACTACACTCATGTCAGCAGTCAAGATAGTTTACAAGCAGTCATTCTCAATCTTTTTTTTTGCCATAGCCATAAACACAATACTAAAAAAATAGGCTGAATCAGAATTATACAAGTTGCATAACAAATCTTACATGGTGTGTGAAAAATTATTTCCAGTCTGTGCCCCCCTTAAATGGCCCCAGTTAAGAATGGGTAGTCTACAGCAGTGGTCCCCAACCGTGGGCCTCCAGATGTTCTTGGACTTCAACTCCCAGAAATCCTGGCCAGCAGAGGTGGTGGTGAAGGCTTTTGGGAGTTGTAATTCAATAACATCTGGAGGCCCAACGTTGAGGACCACTGGTCTACAGGATACTATTTGTGCTCACTACCATTCACAAAGAGACACCAATCCCAGAATCTGACTCCTTTTTTCATCAGTTAACACTTCTCACCAAACACAAGGCAACTGTTGGGGCTGTTTCTCAACAAGTCCTCTAGCTATCTATTGCTTGGAGTTATAAAGTAATCAAAATACCTAGAAAAAATGGTAGTACAAGAGGATATCATATGGACCAGGAGTCCCCAACCCCCGGTCTGCAACCTGGTGCCAATCCGTGGCCATGGCAGGACCGGGCCGTGGAGACAGATCTCTCCACCCCCCAACCAAATAGGAGGAATCAACGGCATAAAGAAAATGCTTATTTTCTGCAGGGTTGATCTGCTTGCAGAACATGACAGATTTTATTACTACCTCTACATGTTGTTCTTTTTCAAATTCACTCAGGATATATGAGGGTTATTTAAAAAAATAATTATAACCTCCATGTGAGATTGGCTGTAAAACAGTGAGGAGGTCATACTTTTGACACCACCAGAGTGTAGGGCCTATTTATGTGGGCATAATCACGCAGGGAATTGAAAGTAAAGCTGCTAGCATCACATCACATCTGATCAAACTCATGGCAGATTCAGACTTGGAATATTGTGAACAGTCCTAACCACTGCTTTTCCAAAAAGATACTACTTTTTAGAGGCAAACAGTCGAGAAAGCACTCCAAAAGGATCTCTTTAAATAAGAGAAATGTGCACTAAAATAGCAAAAAAAAGTTCAATGTAGGCCAGTAATACACATTTGACAGAGAGATTCAGCAGCAACAGCTCTACACTAGAGTGCATTCCAGTAAAATCATATGTACAATGATGCAATCTAACTTCATGGTGAAAATTGTGGCTAACATAATGAAAATATCAATCAATGAGACAACTGCTGGAAAAAAACCCACATGTGGGCATAATTAGGTAGGGAATTGGAAGCGGAGCTCCTAGCATTACATCACACTTGAACAAACCCTTGGTAGACCCAGATTTGGAATACTGAGTACAGTCCTGGCCACTGCCTTTCCAAAAATATATTACTGAGTTGGGAAAGATATATGAATTCAAATATAGTGGTGCCTTGACTTATGACCATAATCCGTTCCAGAAGATGGACGTAACTCAAAATGGTTGTTAAGTCGAAGCACCATTTCCCATTGAAATGCATTGGAACGCGATTAATCTGTTCCAGAAGAAGGAAAACCCCCAAAATAAAAATAAAACACTGCAAGCCCCATAATAACGCACTGGGGCTGCAATGATGCTGATGCTGATGCTGATGCTGATGCTGATGCTGATGCTGATGCTGATGCTGATGCTGATGCTGATGCTGATGCTGATGCTGATGCTGATGCTGATGCTGATGCTGATGCTGATGCTGATGCTGATGCTGATGCTGATGCTGATGCTGATGCTGATGCTGATGCTGATGCTGATGCTGATGCTGATGCTGATGCTGATGCTGATGCTGATGCTGATGCTGATGCTGATGCTGATGCTGATGCTGATGCTGATGCTGATGCTGATGCTGATGCTGATGCAAAGAGCTACAAAGAAGCAGCCTCTTCGCCTACCTATGGTTAGCAAATTTGAATTCCCTGCCTTTTTCCGGTCACAACTCAAAGCTCCGGCCGCAAGTCGCAGCAAAATTTTGCTGCTGGAGCTGGTCGTAATTCGAAATGGTCAGTCGGGACATTCATAAGGCGAGGCACCACTGTAATCAAATGGCTGGAGCAACCTCCCTATGAGGTTACAATATCTGGAGCTCCTTAATTAATGGGGGGGGGAAGTAAGGGGAGACATCAAATAAAAGCATAAAACTATACAAGACGTCAAGGAAGTATACAGGAAGACACTTCCATCCCACAATTCTAGAAACTGGAGTCATCTCATTGAAGCTGAAGGGTGGGAAATTCAGGACAGATAAATAGAAGTACTTTTTCATTGTTAAACCTTGGAATGTGATAGTGGCCATCAAATTAGAAGATTAAATAAATTAATGGAGGCTATGATAGTCTATGATTATTAGTTATGATGTTTATATATTACTTCCAGAATCAGTTGATGGCAAGCACAGGCAGGAAAATATTTCGTTCGTACCTTGCTTGTGCGCTTTCCATAAATAACTCGCTCATCACTGAGGGGACAGAATGCTGGGTAAGATAGAACTGACAAAGGCCCAAGGCAAAGTAAGAACATTACAAGAGTAAGTTTTAGGGCTGACTGAAGAGAAGATCTCTCTGACCCGATGCCAGGACTGCATCCAATGCAGTACACTGAATCAAATGCAAAAATATTGCTTGAATCATTTATTAATTTTCGAACTTCCACCTTGATATTTGTGACACCCGTGACCCGGGTAGAGAGGTGATGCTAGGAGTGCCGTCTCGCCCCAAAGCCTCCGTGGGCACGCAGACAGCTCCCAAACCATTCCCACCCCGGATGTTACACCAGTCCGTGGACACAGGAGATTTAGAGAAGGGAGTGAAGGGGTTAAGTATATCTACCCAGACTCCTCGGGTCTGGGCAGGGAGGGGGACGAAGGACCCTGAGGAGGGAGCAGCAGGGGAAGTCAGTTACCGACCGTTAGGGGAAGAGAGTGGATGGGAGTGGGTATCCATCCAAGACCCCTGGTCAGGTAAATGGGAACAAGTCTGCCTGACGAAACAGGAGGCAGAAGAGAGGAGGAGGAATGAGGCTAGGGTCCGGCCCTCTTATTGGGGAGAAAGAGAGACCCGAGAGTGGCGTAGGAAATTAGTAGAGGAGAAGAAAAGGGTAGAGAGAGAGAAAGAGGAGAAGACCAGATGGCATCTGGAGGAGTTGAAGAGACTGGGTTATCGCCAGGACCTTGGGATCAACCCGGGGCAGAGACCTCCATACCCTGGGGATACGCAGGGTTCGAGGAGACGACCCCTCTACTAACAACTGACAGAGAAGACTTCGATCCCGAAGAACCCTCCCGGGTTCAGGCTGGCCCATGGGCGTCGAAGTCAAGTAACCCGTTCGACGAAGATTGGGTGCCCCTGTATGAACCGTTACTTCAGCAGGAGAAGTTTGTCCCCAAGTTGATTGACGTTTCCATCCCGTTACCCCAGTTAAATAAAGAAGACAAATGGTTCAGTTCAAATGTGTCTACAGCTTTATTTGGGACGGGGGAGGTGAAGAATAACGAACCCTCACAATATTGTCAAATCAATGAAACTGCAGTTTTTAATTTAACTTCCAAAATCCCTCTCAGTGCTTTAGGCTTCTGGCTATGAAGCCAGAGATTGGGAGTTGATTCTACACTGTCTCCTTGACAGGGGCTGGATTGGATGATCCATAGGGTCCCTTCCAGCTTTGAAGTTCTGGGTATAAGGTTTCCTATTAATTTCTCCCAATGTACATCTTCTAGAGTGATGCTGAAATATGCCTTTACCAACCATCCAAAAACTTTAGAATTCCAA